ATACATGTCCTTCAGATGGTACAAGAACACTATACATGTCCATCAGATGGTACAAGAACACTACATGTCCTTCAGATGGTACAAGAACACTATACATGTCCTTCAGATGGTACAAGAACACTATACATGTCCATCAGATGGTACAAGAACACTACAATGTCCATCAGATGGTACAAGAACACTATACATGTCCATCAGATGGTACAAGAACACTATACATGTCCATCAGATGGTACAAGAACACTACATGTCCATCAGATGGTACAAGAACACTACAATGTCCATCAGATGGTACAAGAACACTATACATGTCCTTCAGATGGTACAAGAACACTATACATGTCCATCAGATGGTACAAGAACACTATACATGTCCATCAGATGGTACAAGAACACTATTCATGTCCTTCAGATAGTACAAGAACACTACAATGTCCATCAGATGGTACAAGAACACTATACATGTCCATCAGATGGTACAAGAACACTAAACATGTCCATCAGATGGTACAAAAACACTACATGTCCATCAGATGGTACAAGAACACTACATGTCCATCAGATGGTACAAGAACACTACATGTCCTTCAGATTGTACAAGAACACTACAATGTCCATCAGATGGTACAAGAACACTATACATGTCCATCAGATGGTACAAGAACACTATACATGTCCATCAGATGGTACAAGAACACTACATGTCCTTCAGATGGTACAAGAACACTATACATGTCCATCAGATGGTACAAGAACACTATATATGTCCATCAGATGGTACAAGAACACTATACATGTCCTTCAGATGGTACAAGAACACTACAATGTCCATCAGATGGTACAAGAACACTACAATGTCCATCAGATGGTACAAGAACACTATACGTGTCCATCAGATGGTACAAGAACACTACAATGTCCATCAGATGGTACAAGAACACTATACATGTCCATCAGATTGTACAAGAACACTATACATGTCCTTCAGATGGTACAAGAACACTACATGTCCTTCAGATTGTACAAGAACACTATACATGTCCATCAGATGGTACAAGAACACTATACATGTCCATCAGATGGTACAAGAACACTACATGTCCTTCAGATGGTACAAGAACACTACAATGTCCATCAGATGGTACAAGAACACTACATGTCCTTCAGATGTTACAAGAACACTACAATGTCCATCAGATGGTACAAGAACACTATACATGTCCTTCAGATGGTACAAGAACACTATACATGTCCATCAGATGGTACAAGAACACTACATGTCCTTCAGATGGTACAAGAACACTATACATGTCCTTCAGATGGTACAAGAACACTATACATGTCCATCAGATGGTACAAGAACACTACAATGTCCATCAGATGGTACAAGAACACTATACATGTCCATCAGATGGTACAAGAACACTATACATGTCCATCAGATGGTACAAGAACACTACATGTCCATCAGATGGTACAAGAACACTACAATGTCCATCAGATGGTACAAGAACACTATACATGTCCTTCAGATGGTAGAAGAACACTATACATGTCCATCAGATGGTACAAGAACACTATACATGTCCTTCAGATGGTACAAGAACACTATACATGTCCATCAGATGGTACAAGAACACTACAATGTCCATCAGATGGTACAAGAACACTATACATGTCCATCAGATGGTACAAGAACACTATACATGTCCATCAGATGGTACAAGAACACTATACATGTCCTTCAGATGGTACAAGAACACTACAATGTCCATCAGATGGTACAAGAACCCTATACATGTCCATTAGATGGTACAAGAACCCTATACATGTCCATCAGATGGTACCAGAACACTACAATGTCCATCAGATGGTACAAGAACACTACAATGTCCATCAGATGGTACAAGAACACTATACATGTCCATCAGATGGTACCAGAACACTATACATGTCCATCAGATGGTACAAGAACCCTATACATGTCCATCAGATGGTACAAGAACCCTATACATGTCCATCAGATGGTACAAGAACACTACAATGTCCATCAGATGGTACAAGAACACTACAATGTCCATCAGATGGTACAAGAACACTATACATGTCCATCAGATGGTACCAGAACACTATACATGTCCTTCAGATGGTACAAGAACACTATACATGTCCTTCAGATGGTACAAGAACACTATACGTGTCCTCTAGACAGTACAGGAACACTGCATGCACCTGTTCCTCCAGATGCTACAGCAACACTATGTATGACCCATAGATGGTACAACACTATTTAAGTGCTTCCAGACAGTAAAATAGCTGTCTGTGTTTCCATTTTGTTATGTTTTTCACTTTGTAAAAGAAAATGAAAAAAATGTCATAAAAATTACAAAGGATACGAGTTTCGTGTGCGTAAAAAACATTACTACTATATGTGGAAATATATAGTATGCATATCTTTCTTCCATGTGTATAGTATATCCTATTCAATACTGCACGTTGTAACACGATACCGGATTGGGCCTCAGGCGCCGAACTTCACATTGATCACGCGTGCTGCTTCAGAATTAAATGTGAAATTCAATTGTCGAACGTCTACCGTTTATCCGTGAACCTATTGCTTCGTGGACCGCTTTTATTTCTTATCAGCGTCACGTGAAAAATTCATGTCACTGTTGCGTGTTTCCCCAGATGAAAACTGTCTTGTAAAAATGACTCCCCCGTTGACAGGTATAGCGTAACCATTAATATTCACTTTAAAAACGACAAAGTTTCTAAACTTGGAAGCAAAAGATTTGCATTATTGACTGATTAATCCGTTTGAACGATCGTGCAGGCAAGTCACGAATTTGCCGGTTTGATTAATTTCTGAGACCTTCAATGTTTTAAATGTAGGGATCCCCAGTGCGCCAGAAGCCTCTTCGCCGTCGCTATTCGTGCTTGTATGCTTGTCTTATTTCGTTGAGACAAAGCCTCTTGATATATAGTTAGTGTAGGCTACGGGCCGGGGAAGGTGTGGGTGAGTGAGTTTGGTTTTACGCCGCCTTTAGCAATATTCCAGCAATATCACGGTGGGGGACACCAGAAATGTTCTTCACACATTGTACCCATGTGGGGAATTGAACCCGGGTCTCGGCGTGACGAGAGAACGCTTTGACCATTAGGCTACCCCGCCGCCCCCGTTCAGGTGTGAGCGTGGGTGGGTGGGTTAAATATAAAAGTGGGATTTCGTCGGAGTAACAAACAATAAAGTCCTTAGAGTGATTCCATTCATGGAAGACTTGCTTTGTTTACGCCAAGTTAATCTCAATTAAAATATGTTAATTTTATGTTCAGAGCGTTTTCGTGAAATGGAACAATTATTTATTTTAATATTGATCGGATTCGACAAGCTGTTGCCCTGGCAACTGAATATTATTACTCGTGCAATTAACCAATTACTGATTCCTCTGACCTTTGGAACAAGCAACTGGAGACAAGGTATTTTTAAACACGCTGTATACAGTGTATGTGTATCCTGTATCCTGTCAAGTATATTTACATTAACCTTTGCTGGTCGTTTTAGCGGCGAGTTATTGGATCAGCGAGTCATGCCCCGTGACAGCTAAGTTCGTGTCATAGTGCTAGACGGCTCTCAATATTGATCACTGGATTGCCTGGTCTCGACTCGATTATTTGAAGGCCGTCGTCATATAGGAGTGAGTGAGTTTAGTTTTACGCCGCTTTTAGCAATATTCCATCAATATTACGGTGGGGGACACCAGAAATGGGCTTCACACATAGTACCCATGTAGGAAATCGAACCCGGGTCTTCGATGTGATGAACGGGCACTTAAACCACTGGGCTACACCCCCCACCCCCATTTCGATAATACTAAATTTATCAGTTCAATTGACATACCCCCAACCCCCAAGGATACGTCTCGTGCAATACGCGCACTAGCACTTTCAATTGTGCCTACACTTCATTTCTTTCCTTGGTACTTGTCTTCCGGAGTAAGTGAGTGAGTGAGTATGGTTCTACATTGCTTTTAGCAATATTCCAGCAATATCACGCCGGATGACACCAGAAATGGCCTTCACACATACTAGTACCCATGTGGGGAATCGAACCCGGGTTTTCAGCGTGACGAGCAAGCGCTTTAACCACTCGGCTACCCCACCGACCCTGTCATATAGGAGGAATATTGCGGCGTAAAACAACAAAACAACAAATAGAAATGATAAAAACAACAAACACAGCAATTATTGGAAAATTAGGTCACCAGCAACTTGTGACAGTTTGACAGACGTCACATATAAAAAAGGTTGACAGTTACAAAACGGTAAATTCTTCATGGATGGCAACGTCTTTATTACATTATGATGCGACGTTTCGGTATAGGTTCTTATACCGTTGTCAAGCATGAGTGAAGCATTGTACTGTAAACTGTTTGTCTACTTGTTTTAACCTAATGTATCCACTACCATGAGCATCCAACAAACGGTGAATAACAGCGAATATACCATGCTAGGACTTCCATGGATCAGTGAAGATTGTTAATGTGTTTTATTGAACGATATAATGTTCAATATATTTCACCATGAAGTAGTACAATGTACAAATTCCTTTGTGGTCGTAACAAAGGAATTTGAAAAAGGAATTAAATCGTTAATTATAATATCAACAAGCATTTTTAAATAATAATGATATAGATATATTGCATTCACATTCTGTGTCGATTATGCAAAACGTTTTTTAAGTATCCGTAACGTTTTCAATTCACTACATATTTATATTCGGGCCCTGACTGTGTATATGATAACTTCAACAAACTGACATCAGAGTGAGCGAGCGTGTTGATGCGAATCGAGCCCCTGTCAAATGTGCATGTGGTTTTGATCGGACATCGCACGCTAACATCTCAAGGCGTTAGGAAACCTACTTGTCCGACACTTGCTAATTAGCTCACATTGAGAAACCATCAGTGCTGTTACATCGGTAGATCACAACGTTCATAGTGTCAGTGGCAAGTGCTGATTAGGTTAACTCGCATCATAAACACCAAGCCTCGGTGTCACGTTGCATTAACGTAAATATAACCTTTGACCTTTTGCGGAAATGGGTGTATCCCGTATTTTGATTGGCTCCTATTCCGCCTCATTCCCACGTGTGTTCTCGGACGGGGATAACAAAGCACACATTGAACACCGGTGTTTCAAAGACAGTCACGGAACATAGTCAAATACATAGTGGGCAGAGGACGAAATCCCATGTCTGGATTTAAGCTGGGTATAGTGCGCCTCGGCAGAGCGGCAGGAAAGGTAGGAATGGCCTCATTTTTGTCAGAATATTGCAGAACACAGAGCTTCAGTGTATTGATTTCGTACGACCACCAGCGAGCAAATAGCCATTGATTGAACGAAAGTCAGAATAGAGGGATGGATACGCAAACAAAGACTGACAGATGGACGGCCGAAAGCAGCTACATATAGCTACAAATATGTGGCCGTTACATGCTGTAAAGGCCAAACCGACATTTTTCACGATTTCTCATCCTGCTGAAAACAAGCGAGCCGGTGTAGCCGTCTTTCCTGACCCAGTTCATTAGATTCTGGCTCGTCTAAAGAGATACGACAGGGAAATATTCAATTTATTATAAAATCGACCTTATAGTCTTCCTGTTAGTATATATCCTGTATTCATTCTCATTTTATACCATGAATATAACCTCAGCATATATGACATGCTAACATAGCACCAGGGCGCACGAAATATGTCATTTGTTGGCAATGTTGATACTGCTTGCCCGTCGAACATGGATAGAACGATACTGTAAACAAAAGCTTGCTACACGGACTGTCGGTCGGCAGAGGGGACAAAGTAAAGTCAGTCAGCTATCTCTGATGTGACCGAATCACTCGACTTTACCATTTCCAGAACCCTCCTTTCTATATATATTTAATAATTCTTATTTTTAAGGGATCCTATTTTCACAGCTTGAACCATCCAAGTTTTCGCAAAAATAATTATTGATTAATTCTATTTTAGATATCTTATCCATTGGTTCAATTTTTCACCCAACATGTTTCAGAAATTTACCTATGGATATCATAAATTCTAGTTCCTGAATTGTTTGAAAAACAAAACTATTAATGCTTTTTATACCAAGGAAGGTTTGAATATATTTTTTTATGAAGTTGTGATTAGAATGTCTAAATTTTTTGTTTCATTCAAAGTTAGCTTCAAATATGTGATTGAGATAGGTATATGTTTTACGAACAGTTCAGTTACCAGAGACTGAGAAAGCAGCTATAGCTACATTATTAAAGTATGTCACTTAGAATATTAGGTCACCATGACATTGTGGTTGTGTCGCGCATACAGCAATGTTTCAAGAAAAATGGTTTCCAAAAATAATCTTCCTGTCGAACAGTTATTCAGTACAGATTCTGAGCCGTGCTTACCTAAGCATGGCACAAGTCAGCAATAAGCTAGCCAGTAATTAATTAATTAATTAGTAGGTGTAGTTACACAAACTTACTGGTCGAGTCCCACACCTTTGCTAATCCAGATTTGTACAGAATCTTATCAACAACAATCACTCTGCCCAGGTAAATATGATATACAGTAAAAACACAATTCTGATTAATTAACAATATGTTACTATGGAGGATGAATAGATCTGATTGTCAGAACGTCACATCCAATCAATGGATAGCAATCCAAGCCATGAAATCGACATGAAACAGACAACATTTTGTCGTAGTATTCCTTTACTGAGGAAGTATAGGGAGCATAGCAAGTCTGAAATTGAATACATATTTGTGGTGTTTTTCCTTATGAGTTGTTCAGGTGTGTCAAGTAGTATCATGACCTACTTAGGTTTATTTCCTCGTTAAGTTATAATCAGCTGGTTTCTTTATTTTCTTTCTAAATGAAAACTTTACAGCATATTGACAATTTTGTTGGTTTTAAATGCAGGATGTAATATTTAAATTTATTCATGTTACTTCTATATTTTATTCATTATAATTTGTCATCGATTGCTAACAAAGGAGTATAGCCAGTGCTGGGATTTATAGGTAATCAATTGTTTGAGCCAGTTTGGTACTACCAGTACATAATACTGTTTATTCAACAAAACAAAAGTATTTGAAGCTTGTAAATTTTTTAATCTTTTCATTTGCTGCAATGTATATAACTGACAAGTTTATTCATCTTGAAGTATGTATAGATTTAATGAGTTATAAAAATTGAAATTGTTAATAACATTTACTCTAAGATAGGTTTTCTTGATCAGCAAGTTTGTACCTATTAATCATCAGTTCAGAATAACAATTATCTATATACTGTAGTCAACACAATATCAGAATATTACTTTACGACAATAAGTTTTTGTTTATATTTGTAATACTATATTTCAAGCCCGATTTCATATCAATATATCACTATAACGTCAGCTATGTGTGGTGGTTAACTTCCGATACTGAGGCGAAGGAAATTGATTTTTTAGTAGACAGCATATTATTTTCTGCATTATTCATACTGTAACCTTGGCAAATATCACAATATATGGTTTGAATCTATCAAAACTCAATAAATATCTTCCAAAATGACAGCCTGTGTTTGACCTAGTGCACTCAAACATGGCTTCCTGTGGAGGGATGTTCGTTGTCTCCACGAGAATAATTTGGATAAAGAATTGATAGATGTTACATCCCTTTTGGCAGTGTTACATAAAATATGCATTTTCTCGACTCACCGCTGATTAGCAGACAGAATGCAGCAGTCAGACTGTTAATAGTCTTTTGGGAGTATACTTTGGTCTATATATAATGGAGGATACTTTGGTGTGCGTATCTGTTAGTCATGGGGGCCTGACGTAACATATTTTAGGGGCCAGGTTTTTGGAGAGGGTAGAAAGAAGACCACATAGTATGTGGAATCCTCCTTTGAAGTTTGATTAGGGGGGAGATGGGGTAGCGGAGTGGTTGTATTGTTCGCTCGTCGCGCCGAAGACCCGGGTTCGAATCCCCTCACGGGTACAATGTGTGAGGCCCTTTTCTGGTGTCTCCCGCTGTGATATTGCTGGAATATTGCTAAAAGTAAAACTCACTCACTCACTTCTTCAGGGTTTTATCTGACTCGTAAATGTGCGTCCAGAATGCAGAAATGTAGAGAATGGACGCAGAAATACAATTCACTGCGTCCAGAGGGACAATAATATTATTCGTTGTACCCACAACACAACTATGACTTTGGTCATGTTTGGTTGTTTCTTTCAGAACAGTTTCTTGCTTCATTTCATCCATCAAACCATCAATGATTCATTATAGGCGCTGAAGAACTTCTCAACGCTGTTACTTCACAGGACCCTCATATTGTCTGTAAGGACCCTTCAAACTAATAATCGGGGGTTCCGGGGATAAGAAACTGAGGGACTAAGGGAAAAAAATCTGACAAATCCTCCAAACTTTGTTTGTATTTCTTACTGGTACCAAAATATCAAATAAATTGTATATACACATTTCAATTTAATCTCAGTCATTGCTACATCCTTTCTCTTTGTTCCAGTAGTACTTACTCTGGATTTCATTTTGTTCAATCTTAATTCTTATGGGTACAGAACAAAATACTTACTGGAAAACCATCGTTGTTTGTTGGCAATACACTAAAAATATTTTGATGAATATCTGGTTTGTCTAAGATGCTTGGATAAAGCTCTGTAGTCTCTAGTTTGAAGATTTTATATCTTGATTGGGGCCTGGCAAATAAGATCAATAGTTTTACAGTCATCCTGTTGCAAGAAGGATGTGGAACAGTAGTCTGAGATGTTGTTGTTGAAGTCTTTTGTTTCTTAGGCATGTTAGAATCTTGTGATTATGAGTTTGAATCCCGGAATGCCCTGGTTCTGTTCCTTGGTTTGTGAAAATATCAAAAAGTGGTAAATGGCGGAGACCTCCATCACTTTAGCCTTTCCTCACTCACTCACTCACTCACTCTGACTTGCTGAGATTCACTCACTCACTCACTTGTTGGCTCATCATGCCGAAGGCCTGGGTTCGATTCCCCACATGGGTACAATGTGTGACACCCATTTCTGGTGTCCCCCACTGTGATATCGCTGGAATATTGCTAAAAGCAGCATAAAACTCACTCACTCACTCTTCAGGGTTTTATGCAACTCGTAAATGTGCATCCAGAATGCACAAATGTAGAAAATGGACGCATGTTGGAATATTGCTAAAAGAGGCGTTAAACCATACTTGCTCACTCATTCACTCACTGTCTCATTTCAAACATTTTTGAAAGAATTGAAATATGTCAAAGTTATTGTAAGACGTTCTCTTTCAACATGCTTTGATACAAACAGAAAGAGACATTGGAAGGATTTTGAAGTCAGAGGTCTGTTGGTTGTAAATCCTTTGGAAGGGTTTGTATCTGAGCTAGCAACATGTGGCTGAAGGGTCTCTTTGTACTGGCGACACATCAGTGTTTTTACAGCACTGGTCATTGTTGACTCCGGCTGGTCAAATGGTTACAGCCATTGTCACACTCGTGTGACCCTTTGACATCTGTTTCAATGTCAAGAAACAGCTGTTTTGCTAACAACACCAGGAAAACTTGGGCAATCCTTTTTCTTTTGTCTTTTTTTGTATTTGACCAACCAGAGCCATAAACCACAGTCATAAAATTTAAATGATTTGAATATTTTATTTGCCCAAGAGGTCATCCTTTGATAAATTAGAAATTTCAACAAACAAATGCAAAAATATTGCAAAGTTGAAATATTGCTTAGCCACATACATATTCGTTCAGGTTCTTTCATGTTACTTTAGTTACTCTCTGGAATGTGAGAGACAGTGGGGTAGCCTAGTGGTTAAAGCGTTCGCTCGCCACACCGAAGGCATGGGTTCGATTCCCCACATGGGTACAATGTGTGAAGCCCATTTCTGGTGTCCCCTGCCATGATATTGCTGGAATATTGCTAAAAAGCAGAGTAAAGCCCAACTCATGATTGGAATGTGAAAGAAATGAGTGTTCTTTAATATCTTGTGAGTAGTATACTTTGGAGTGAGTGAGTGAATATGGTTTTACGTGACTTTTGTCAATATTCCAGGAATGTCATGACGGAGGACACCAGTAATGGGCCTGACACCTTGTATCCATGTGAATTGAATTTGCAAGGTGGATAAGGTACATAAAGAGCATTGATTTGTTCTGCAGAGTTGCCTCGCTTGGGTATGCAAGTAACCTATCATTGTGGGTTTGAATCCCGGTTGGCCATGAATATGTTGCTAGGTTTGACCGCACCATGGCA